TCAATGTAGTACTAGAAGCCCCAGTCCGAGCAATTAGTCAAAAAGATAAAATTAAAGGAATCAAAACTGGAATGAAATAAGTAAAATTATTTCTATTCTCAGGCAAAATGATCTTGTATGTAGAAACACTAAGGATTCCATACTAAAACAACAACAACAACAAAACCTATTAGTAAACAAATTTAGTGAAGTTGTAGGATTAAATTAACCCACAAAAATCAGCTGTGTTTCTATACACTAACAGTGAACAATCCAGAAAAGAAATCAAGGAAACAATTCAATTTACAATAGCATCAAAAATAATAAAACACTTAAGAATAAATTGAACCAAGAAAGAGAAAGACTTGGTAAGTAGGAACTATAAAACATTTGTGAAAAAATTAAAGGCACAAATAAATGGAAAGATACTGTGTGTTCATGAACTGAAATACTTACTATTATTAAGACATCAATACTATGCAAAGACAGTTATAGATTCACTGCAATCTCTATCAAAATTCCAAAATCATTATTTGCAGAAATAGAAAGATTCATTCTGAAGTTCATATTGAATCTCAAGAGATCCTGAATAGATAAACAATCTTGAAAAAGAACAAAGTTGGAAATCTCGTATTTCCTGATTTTGGATTTTATTATAAAGCCATAGTAATCAAAACAGTTTGGTGCTGGCATAAAGACCAATATATAGAAAAATGGAATAAAACAGACAGCTCAGAAATAAACCCTCCCATATCTGGTCAAACAATTTTCAACAAGGTTGAAACAAGGTTGCCCAGACCACTTAATGATACAGGGAAAGAACATTTTCAACAAATGGTGTTGGGAAAACTGGATATCCACATGCAAAAGAATGAAGTTGGAAACTTTGCCTTATACCATATATAAAAATGAATTCAAACAGGTCAAATACCTAAGTGTAAGAGCTCAAACTATAAAACTTTTAGAATAAAACAAGAGGAATAGCTTTATAACATTGGATTTGGCAATGATCTCTTGGATATGATACTAAAAGTGAAGAAAACAAAAGAAAAAATAGATAAATTGGACTAATTAAAAAAATTCTGTGCATCAAAAGATACAATCAACAGTGATTGAGAGAAATTGAATGAAAAAAATAATTGCAAATCTTTGTCTGATAAAGGGTTTATATCCCCAATACACACACACAACTCATGAACTCAATAATAAAGAGAACAATATCAAAAGCACAGTGAGATACCACTTCACACTCATCAGGATGGCCCTGATTTTTAAAGAAAAAAAACAAAAAACAATAAAACTCAGAAAACAAGTATTGTTGGAGAAATTGGAACCCTTGCACACCGCTTGTGGGGATGTAAAATGGCAAGGAAATCCAGCTTCTCGCATCCCATCTGGGTGAATGCTGTGCTCAGGGACCCATGAGTTTTCTCTGGAGACGTCAGATCAATGGACCATGGACTTTTCTTACTCAAGAGAGCTGTATCTGGACTCCCTAAAGTTGAGCACATATGAAAAAGTATGGAGGGCTGTCTGCTTCTTATCTTGAGATTTTTTTATGTGTGATTTTTTCATTGCATTTTAGGTTTTGGGTTACATGTGAAGAACATGCAAGATAGTTGCATAGGTACACATGTGGCAGTGTGATTTGCTGCCTTCCTCCCCTTCACCTATATCTGGCATTTCTCCCATGCTATCTCTCCCCTACTCCCCACCCCCTGCTGTCCCTCCCCTATTCCCCTCAACAGACCCACATTCCATGTTCATGGTTAGGAAGAATCAATATCATGAAAATGGCCATACTGCCCAAAGTAATTTACAGATTCAATGCTATTTCCATCAAGCTACCAATGACCTTCTTCACAGGACTGGAAAAAACCACCTTAAACTTCATATGGAACCAAAAGAGAGCCCGCATAGCCAAGTCAATTCTAAGCAAAAAGAACACAGTGGGAGGCATCACACTACCAGACTTCAAACTGTACTACAAGGCTACAGTAATCAAAACAGCAAGGTACTGGTACCAAAACAGAGATATAGACCAATGGAACAGAACAGAGGCCTCAGAGGCAACACAACATATCTACAACCATCCGATCTTTGACAAACCTGACAAAAACAAGCAATGGGGAAAGGATTCCCTGTTTAATAAATGGTGTTGGGAAAACTGGCTAGCCATGTGCAGAAAGCAGAAACTGGACCCCTTCCTGACACCTTACCCTAAAATTAACTCCAGATGGATTAAAGATCTTATGATTTTTAAGGCAGAAAGTTCTTGCGAGCCATCAGCGCATTAAGGCAATGTGGTGTTGTATGCCCAAGAAGAACATGGAGCAAATTCCTCTTGTTCCTAGTTTTCAGAGGGCCTTGGAGAGTGAGGAAGAGCACCCAATGGTACCTGTATCTCCAGGTGAAGAACATCCCTCACCCCCAAAAAATTTTGCTGTTCACCAACATAGAGAACACAGTTTTCAGCAGAAGCCCATCACAGGAGACAGACAGAGACTGAAGCAGGGGGAGATAAGAGATACCACTACACATGGCTGAGAGCAGGCATTTCTGCTTCCTCCATCCTCCTCCCATCCCCAGCTTCAGAGGAAATGCACCAGAGGCATTTCTGGGACATTCAATACAGGGTATCTGAGAGCATAACGCAGGGAAAAAATAGAATCATTTTTCTGTGTCCCCTTGGGCTGTTGAATTTATGTAGTGCATCATTACCCTAAGATGCATAGTGTGCTATGAGACTCATTGTGGGGGTGACTTGGGGGTTCTAGGAAGGTGGACAGAAGGCATTGGAGGGAGATGGTGATGATCCATCCCCAGGAGGACTTGGCTCAGTCCGTCTGGATGGGTTCATCAAAGACCCTCTTTGTTCAGACCCTGATGCCTTGAGCTGAGTGGGTTGGAAGCTGGACATATGGGTTGCACCCCTCATTCTCTCTGCATGGGACTTCTCTATACCCTGTGCAGAGGCATAAGGTTGACTACTCTTACCCCAGGACCATGGCTCCTCAGTCTTAAGCACTCTGCACAGTAAGCAGTATTTTCCCCTCTCTCAGTTTCTCTCTCCCTGCCATGTCCCAAAAACCAGGGTTACTCAGGAGTCATAACCCCTCCATATCCTCTCCTCTCGTCCAGCCCAAGCCAAATTTCTTCATTATATTCATGACTACACACAAACCCGAACTCTTGGAGCAGCAGAAGGGGCCCTCTTATATGTGCATGTTCCAAGAGCTGAAAAGGAATGCACAGGCGTCTTTTATTTTACAAAATATAGCACTCATGATAAAGGAGCAAATTACTTATTGGAATTGGGGAGAGCATGAGCTCATTTGAAAGAGACCTTGAAGAATAGCAGTAGTCATCATAGCAGTCGTAATAATAATATTGGTAGCTCCTCTTTACTGAGAGCTTAAATGTGGCAGGCATGGTACAAAATATTTTCAATATATGATCTCACTTCTCAAAACAATTCACTCCCCAACAGAGACATCTACGCAAATGACTGCCAGGTATTTGTTTATAACACTCACATATATTCTTTCCCAGCCTCATATTAAGTATTTTAATGACTTTTTATTAATGGGGAAATTTAGACTTACAGTGACTGAATAAACAGGCCAGAATATCCAGTTGAACTAAATGATTTGTCCTCAATCACAAGGCATTCATGTAACATAGCATTTTGGCTGAAAAATGAAGTAATTTATGACCAAAACCTTAAATTTTACCATCTAAACCCCAAATTTAATATCATGAATTGAGGAAGACATTTCCACTTCTCTGAATAGCTAAAAAAATCCTACAAAGTTTTCTAAAAGATTCTCTGGGAAAGGAATTTGCAATCATTTTATTCAATTTTGAATGAACATACAGTAGAATATATATGTCATATCAATCTGCATTATTCTTTCCATTTTTTAAGCATCCGTGTGTATTAAATCTTTTACTTTTTCAGAAATTGATAAGAAAAAAGTAACAAATGACAGTAGGGTTTACAAATTCCTATGTAGTCACAGCTTTCTCAAACTGAGAGTGTATTGTTCATTAGAGTAACTGAAAAGAGAAACATATTGCTATAATCCAGCTTGGGCGCAAGGAGTCTTAAAAAGTTTGAGACTCTGACCCTTTATTTATTGGGCATTTTCACATCTCAATCAAGACCGTTGTGCCAATAAAACAGAATTGAGATTGAGAATATCCGCCCTGCCTATTTTATAGTGTGAATGGGTAATCACAATGAACTTTTTTTTTAGTGCTTACTATGCGCAATGTATATATCTTAAATTTATTTGCTATTCAAAAAATCCTTTGAGGTAGGTACCACTGTTATTTCCATCTCAGAAACAAGAAGACTGAGGTTCTAAAAGGTTAGTTTGAACTATATAATTGATGGAGGCAAGATTTGAACCCAGATAGAAGGAGGCAAGATTTGAACCTAGGTAGGCTGGCTCCCCAGCCCAGGTTTCTAACCACTTTACCATAAAATATAATAGCATATATTTAAAAAATTAAGTTCTCATCCAGTCAGAGGATTAAACATCAGTTTAAGCGGCTTTCTTTATATCCAAAGGGGTTAAACATCTTTGTGATCAAATATTGCTTCATTGGAACTTGGTAACCACTAAACATGAGCTCCAAGGGCCCTCTGAAAAGTCAAAAGTATTGCACTAATGTTAGTATTCTATTTTATTGGCTTGAAATACCATGTTTTTAATAGTCCCTGAATAGATGATATTGATACTCCAAATTCAGGACTGAGTTTAGATTGTCCAAATGGCATTCAGCATGAAGTTCTTTAGGAATGCCTTTCATTATTTCTCCAAATGTTTCCAAAACTCAAAATCGTAGACTTTGTGATGTCAGTCAGAAAAATGTTAGAAGAGAAAAAAGGTTTTATAATTATTTCTACCCAAAACAATAATTCTCTGCCAAATCACGTATCATTCTAGATTGAGGTTCTTATTAAATTTGGCCCTTCTTCAAATCAAATACATCCTTCAAGAATGAAGACTCACCAGTGATGGCATGCAAAGGAATGGAGCAAGTCTCCCAAGACCATTTCCAAAGACGAGCTCCAAAAGTGTGCTCTGTGTTCGGATCAAGATGGTAGCACTATCCCGCTTGCCTCAGTAAGTACCTAGAAGTATTCATACAAAAGTGTTATCTTCTGACATGTTTTCTTAAAAAGTAATTCATAGCACTTAACTTACACAGCTCATATATTTCCCCCCAAGTAGCCCATTCTATGTTAATATTTCAGAGTGGTGCCACCTTCTTGCACAAAACTTCAAACAATTAACAGAATGCTACATAGGACTCAGAGACAGAGCAGCAAGCTGACCTGGTGAACTCCCACGCCAACCCCACTCCCCGACATTTCATATCCCGAGCTACAGGACAGCTAATGGTGCTTGTGTTAGAAACAGGCAGGACAAAGGTCAGCAGTGAAGAATGTCTCTAGGACCCTACTTAGCCAGCTCCGTGAGGCTGATGCAGGAGGGCGTGATGATGAGAAAGTAAGACGGCAACTGTTTGAGCCCTGTTATCTGAGCCAATGTAAACATCGAACCACAAATACTTCCCCTTCCTCCTCCAGGATCCAAATGTCAATTGCTTCCAGCTTCAAAGTTCTGAGCCTGTACCACACCTCCCTTTGATTCCAGCTTGCTTGGAAAGAGAACAACATGCCTGACTCCATCTGTGTGGTAAAATTGAGTCTCTTTAGCTAAGTCATTAGGAGACACTGGGTGTGCCCCAAACTTGGATCCCTAAAATTTAATTCACCCTTGAGAAAATGCTGGCCCTCTATCAAACGACCACACAAACAACAGGTCAAACTCTGAAAAGGCCATCCTCTAGGTGGGTGGGACTCAACACAAATCGGGCCCAGTTCTGGAGCCCGAGTAGGAGGGCTGAAGGGGCCACAGTGCTGAACCTAGGAGTCAGTCACCTGGGAACTGGGTGAGGAACAAAAGGGATCACCAGCTTCCCTTCCCAAGCCTCGAATTCCTTTGACCGACAGTATCAGACAGTATTATACTTGCCCTATCTTTTCTTTAGTAAACTTATCCCCAGCCCTTCAGCTTAAAAGCCAGTTGAGCTCATGATCCATTATAACTAGTTTGCCAAATATTCAGCTCCCATTGAGTGCTTTTTTACATTGGTGTGGGTGTTCAGAAAAGTATTTGGGCCATTTTTTACGGAATTTTAAGGACTCTTTATTATCAGTGCTATAATGCTGAAGTCTAGCACTCGGGTTTGTTTTCAGTCTATGGTATCTCTTTTCCTATCCTACTCCAGAAAATATTGCCCTGTTCTCAGGTAGAAGATGACTATGATCCTCTTTAGGCAGGTGCCAGGTTTGGACAGTTCCTCCTGGTTTTTTTAGCAGCTTGCTCATAGTGGTGATGGAGAAGGAGGAACGAGGCGGGAGGTAGAGGTGGCGGCAGAGCCATTTAAATGAGCAGCGTTGGGCCAACTCTTGATTCTTCCCAGGGGCACCAGCCTCGTGGAGACTGAGCTGTTCACCTTTTCACCTTGCCCATCTCCCCACCACCCCAGTCCCAGCACAGCCTGTTTCCAACCCTGCCTTTCCTTCTACTGTTCTCATTTCCATAACAGGACTTTTTTTTTTTTTGTTCCAGCTCCCAGGCCATATTTTCATGATACATAATTTCCCTTGGGTTCATAGGTTGGAATTTGACCTTTGGTTTCATAGGGCTCTGGATCCTGGCAAGTAAGAGAACGCTGCTTGTGAGAGCAACTTAGTGAGAACTAGCCGTTGCCATGGTCAGCGTTCCCAGCCCCCCCGCTGATCTGCATGTTAGCTCCATACACACTCAGTTTTGTTCATTTTCAGATGTGAGAAACTGTTTGACTACAGCCTACGTTTATAGAATTCCTAAGCAAACAGAGAGTAACATGAGAGGAAAGGATATAGGTTTTAGAGTCGGATAGGCTGGGCTCCCTCTTCTGTTTTAATCACCAATAGGCTGTATGTCATTGGGAAAACCAACACGTCTCATGGTCTTGATTTCCTCAGCTGTAAAATGGGAACGATAATAGTCCCTTAAGGAGCTCCTAACAAAAGACCTTTCTTCTGAAGAAAAAGTGACAGAGGTAACATATTGGACTTGCTCATGTTTCTTCAATGAAATCTGCTATGTTTTTTTTCTGCCTGTGGGTCCTCCCACATGTCACTCTTTGCCTAGAGCATTCTTCAGCTTGCTCCTACGATAACTGACACTTTAGATAGTGTGGCTGGAGGAAGCATCTTTGATGATGTCATATTTGTGTCAAAACCTTGCAGAGAGCCAAAGGAAAGCTTCAAATAGCACAGTGCTTATGTATGGTTACGACGGCTTTAGTCTTCCCATCTCCTCTCATTTCCAAAGTTACTCAGGTCAGTACCTCCCCAATCCCAACCCTGCTACTTCCTTCACTGAGGTTATCACATACATTTATGATACATTAACTTCTTTTGTTGTAGCCTGGGATACATTCCAGCCTGGGATATAATCCAGCCTGGGCTCCCTTGACCTCCTAAGTAGTTTTTAAAAATTTGTATACAAGAAACTTCATTGCTTGTAAAGTTCTGTGGATTTTAGCAAAGGCAGGATGTCATGCATTCACTATGACAGCATCACACACGTCAGTTTCAGTGTCCTAAAGAATCCTCCATGCTTCACCGATTCAACTCTTTCCCAAGCCCTGGCAATCACTGAGGTTTACCATTGCTATAGTTCCGTCTTCACTACAATCTCATATAAACAAAACCATACAGTAGTCATCCTTTTCAAACTGGCTTCCTTCACTTAGCAGCATGTGATTCCATAATTGCTTTTAACAGTTCACTTTAGGGCTAACTAGATGTCAGCTAATGCTCTAGGCAGCCTGATTATAAATCCCCATTTGCCTGGTGTAGTCTGTGCTTACACCTATTATCCTTGCATCTTACTCATCATGGTATATTAGCACAAACAAAAGCGTCCCAATTTGGAAAATAAATTATATTGCCATCCTAGTTCTAGGTTATGAGACTATATCGATGAACAAGACAAAGTCTGCCATTAGGGAACTTATATTCCAATGGATATAGACGGTAAAGAAACAAACAAAAAAAAAACTCCATGTACTAGTATAAAGAGAAAAAAGAAAATATTAATTTAACTAAATAACCCAGAGGGTTACTTTAGATAGTGTGGTTGGAGGAAACATCTTTAAGGATGTCATATTTATATCAAAACTTTGCAGAGAGTCAGGCAAGAAATCTCCCAGGAAGAGGGTAAAGAAAATACCAAATATCTAAGACAGAAAAACTCGCCATGTTTAGAAAGAGAAAGAACTCAAGGGAGAAGAGAATAAGGTAAGTTTGGTCCAACAGGCCAGGTTAAGAAAATTTAGACTTTTTCCAAATTCACTGGGAAATCACAGAGGGTCTTAAGCTGGGGAATAACATGACACGATTCACATTCTAAAAAGATTTGCTGGCCACGCAAAGAAGACACTAAGCGAGGTGCACGTAGAAGCAGAGAGACCAATGGGAATCAACTGCCGTGGTCCAGACAAGAAGTGATGGTGGCTTGAACTTTCATAGTGGTGATGGGAATGGAGAGACGTGGTAGATTCAACAAGTATATTGTAGGTGCTCTGATGGATTGGATGTTGGGGTTAAAGAAGGGGTGATAAGAAATTTCTAGATCTTTAGCTTAGCAACTGTCTGGTAGGATCATTTACTGAGGTTGGGAGATTGAGAAGGAACCACTGAATGGGTGATAGTTCTTGGTTTGCTTCAGACATGTTAAGTTTGAAACATTTGTTACACATCCAGGTAGTGATATAAGCAGGCAAATATAGTCCTATGAGTTTGCAGTTCGGAAGAGGGTTTAGAGCTGAAGATGAACTGAGAATCCTCATTATGCATTATGGAAAGTGATGGGACTGGTTAAGCCTTCATAAGGAGAGAGTATTGATAGAAAAGAAGACACAGGAAGAAGCCCTGGAAACTCTAATATTTATTGGTCAAAAAGTCAGGAGCAGCCAGGAAAATTGGAGGAAAACAGGAGTTTGTTTAATCAAAACTAAGAAACGTGTTTTAAGAAAGATGGGCTGTCAACTCATGAATGTTGCCAAAAAGACAAGTACAGTGAGGTCTATTGGATTTGACAACATGGAAGCCATGAGTGCCGTTGACCAGGGCAGCTTTAGCAGAGTCATGGAGATGGAAGACAGAATAAAATGTGTTGAAGGTGAACTTGAAGAGGAAGCACAAATGGCTCACAGTTTAGCCGGACCGTAAATTCCATGATAGTGTAGATCATCTAGGTTTTAGTTTCTGCTGTAACCCAGTGCCTACAAATACTTGCCATTTAAGTACCTCCACACTCTCATTTTTCCAACGCCTATTGTGTGAGCTATTTATAAACAGGACATAAGCTAAAAGCAGCACTGAAAGAAAGAAATAACTATTAGAAAGGCCTATGAAGATTGCCTATTTTAGTTAGGCCACTTTTATGTTTCATTTTTTACAATTATCACCCAGGTGAAAGGAAATTGGCAGTCCCCCAAAATTTCTTCATCTTCTTTATGATCACTAGTGCCTCATTTATGGAAGTTTAGAGAATCATGGGTGTTCCTATTACATTACATTGAAGCATTCCCAGTTTAAGAGGGAAGCTGGCGATTTAAAATAATACATTTAGAGCAATAATTCTGATTTAAAATCCCAAATCATATTAGCAAAACCAAGAAGGAGGAGAGAAGGGAGAATTTACATGCCAAATTACTCACGTAAAGTGGGAGGAGGCAAGAAATAATGTTTCACACTTGATATTAACAATTAAGAAACTACAGAATAAAATGTATTTTTGGGTTGACTTCTGGGCCTCCTAAAAGTTATTGCCAAATGCTTCCTGGGCTAAGAAAGGAAAAGAAAGCAGACAGAGCATTAAGATCAGGAAAAGAATCAAACCACCAGCCAGCCAAAACCATACCATGCCCGGTCTCACCGCAGAGCATGAGTCCTAGACCACCAATAAAAGGTATGGTTCTGTGGGGCCTCTAGAGAGTCCTTTCAAAACCATTAAATGAAGAGTAAATTAAAGCAAGGAAAGAGCGAAAGACAAAAATACCCACCCT